TATTTTCTTTTTCCAGTACTTGTAACCAGATTTAGAGAAAATCACATACTGAGTCATTTTAAGGTACACACACAGCTCTCTGAAATAGCTAATTACTAGCACAGGCAATTGCATCAGTGCAATTCTAAGTAAGTTCAAGGGTTTTTTTCTAAAATTTTGTATTAAATTGTATTTATTTTGAAGTTTGATGTGAACTTTAGTGTAGAAATTTCAGGTTTTGAGCAACTCAGTTAATTTTTAATAGGCTTCAAAGGAGTTGTGGTTAGATAACTGTATAGAAAGTGATAATGAGTACTCTAAATGTCAGGCATTAGCTTGTGAGTGAGCTGCAGATGCTTTCCTTAATAGGCTGTATAAGGAGAGTAGCTGCAGGAAACATGGACAGAATGGAAGTACCCATCCATAACCCTTTTCTCTAAAAGCTGCTTTTTTTTCTAGCAGACTGTAATGAAGCTCATGCAACTGAAGATTTAATGCAAATGGAGAAAAGTAATTTTGCCATTATAAATGTTAAAAAAATTCTAAAATTGGCTTTAATTTGAAGGTAGCAATCACTTAGCTCTTGGTTTTTATTATTATGAAGCTGTCTGCAGTGTTTTAGCAGCATTTGATAATCATTCAAAGTTATATAGAGAAGGGAAAACCTATAAGACAGCATTTTAGCAGACTATAAACTGCATTTTTACAGCTGCTTTCAGAACTTGGTCCTGCTGCACAGATCTACAGGGTTCTGGTCAAAAGCCCAGCTGAAGGCACTGGGGCATCTCTGAGCACACCTTTAGCTGAAGGCTCATGTGCTTTTGGGGTCCTGTGCAGGATGGTTGGTGCTGTTCCCATGTCACTTCTGCAGGTCCACTAAGGTAAATCTGCTGTCTTCAGTAGTTGGTGTCCTGTCTTACACTCCTGTAAGGAAAACTAGGACAAGTATCAGGAAACACAGGCCTGTGTCTCTTTAAGTCACTGAATGATTGTTCAGTCTTGCTCAGGCTTCACTTGTAGACCCGTCCCCAGTGAAGAGGGAGGGTTGGTGTGTGGGGTTTGACTGTCCTGGTTACTGCTGGCACCAGTCCCTCATGCTGGGCAAGGGGAGATGGTGACAGGTGAGGAAAGTCACAGAGGGAACTGCACACAGGTCTGTTGGGGGCTGGGGAACAACTCATCAGGGAAAATGTAACTACTCTGGAACTGATTATTTTCTTAAGCAATAGTTTATTCCGACATGCAATGTTAAAGTGGCTATATGGGGGTTTTTCCTTTTTCATATGGAATAAGTAAAACTGTTTGCAAGGCACAGCAAACCATGACTCATGAGTCATCTTACTAGCCACTCACCTGAAAAGGGGGTAACAGGGCTGTTTCATTTTTTTACTGCATTTGAGGGTCAGGGGAGAGAGAGTGATCTGAAGTAACTTTTGTATTTTTTGTTAATTGTTTTGTTTGATGGAATAGTACTGGATTTGACTTGAAGAGTTATGGAAACAATTCTTTCATAGAACTGTAATTCCTTACTTTGTAGAAATTAAGATAGTTAAGTGCAACTCAGTTATTGGGATTGTCTCACCTCTGTTGTACAGACAAATAAAATTAAATCTTTGGAGTTACTATTAGTTTGAATTTTTAAGTTATCTGGTTTTGTAATTCCCACAGTTGTAACCATTTGATAAGAAGGATCTACTATATATACTTTTAAATGCTAGAATACCAGACCTAGTTCATTTTTGCTAGTTCAATAATTTTTAATTTATTCTGTAATCTAATTACTACAGTAAATCAAAAGTATTGCTTAAGACTTCAGAAGTGTCAGTGCAAACATAAAACCAGACCTCCTTTCAGGTGTTTGGAACCTAGACAAAGGGCAGTGCAATTGATGAATTTTACCTTATCTTTGCTTTCCAACAGGAAGTGAAACCCCAGCTTTGTTACTGATTTATAAAGGGAGCTGATGTTCTGGTCATTCAGCCCTTCCTTAACTGAGTTTACTAATACTTGTAAAGATTATTCAATTGTTTCTAGTCCGTCCACTGTGTGTGTTTCCTTTCAGTGCTGGTGGCCGAGCAATGCAGTTCCTAATTCCGACTGCCTTAGGAGCCCCTCTGCTGACACATCAAGGAATTGCATTTGCAGGGTCACGTTTTAAGCCCATCACCAGCATTGAATTCATTATTGCAGCTCTTCCACACAACCCCTCTGCAAGCATTTTACCCTTCATATTCATGGGTTTGTGCTTCATGTTAAAGTGTTTTTATTTAATATTGCAAGCTGGGGGAGTCACTCACTGACTACAGAACATGACCAGTTTAGGTTAGCTTTCATAAATGTTACTTTTGCCCTTCAAACACATCAAGATCAACCTCATAGTCACATCTCAGGGCTGCAGAATTCTGCCTTCATCCCACAGGTCTTTCCTTTTCATGCAGCTCCTTTTGCCTGTATTCCAGTACCAAATCATAGCTTCATAGCACTTCCAGCTTAATTGGTTTGATGGGGCTCTGCATCAGAGGCTTCAAGGCAGGCTGGAAATGCAGTGCTATACTTGTGTTTTTATTTAAAAAAAAAAAAAAGCAGCCCATACTGTTAAAGCAAGATCATGTTGCTGTGATAATGTTCAGTAACTTGAACATTATCCTTTTGTAAATATTTCATACCTTTCTTCATTGTTCAGAGCTCTTACGTACTCATGCTATTCCATTTTTGTGCTAAAGAGTTACATAGCATTCTTAACATGCTTTGTTGAAAAAGATGTGAGCAACAATGTGACAGTATTACCAAAAGCAAAGTGGAAGGGCATCAGAGACTGGAAATTGCCTAGAGAACTCAAGAGGCTAAGAATTTAGCTGCAATGTGGAAGCAGAGGGAATGAGAATGGACCTGTGGAGAAAGTAAATGCATTTTCTAGACAGTATTGAGGGAGTCTCAATTGATGGTCCTCACAGCTGCTGTGTTATTTTCAAAAAATGTTTGTGCTCCAGCTGGGAATACTGCTGTGCTCCGGACACAGGATTGTATGCAATCTATCTGCATGCATCCTTCTATCTGCATCCCACAGCAAGTCTGACCACTAAAGTCCAGCGATTCCGAGGTTCACATCCTCCACACGCTCTAAGCCTTGCAAACGCACGCTGTCACCTCATGACAAGCCCAGGGGCTGAAACACTGATTCCAAGAACTTGAGCTGCTCAGTCAGCAGAGCTGCACAGGATGCTGGGGGAAGGGACTTACTTATTGTTTAACCTGGTCAGAGCTCTGGAAAAAGCTTTCAAAGAAGGAAGTTGATGCAGAATGAAATGTGAGCATGGTCAGCTGCTTCACAAGTGACAGAAGTCACTTGACCCTCTCCCAGTGAAACACTGGACTGTTACCCATGGTTTAACCTTTTGCCAGGGTTGTTTGCAATGTGCTATAGACAAACCTGACTAGAGGACTAGTCCTATGGAGAGCATAAGTGCTCACATGCACAGCATTATCAATCAATCAGGACACCCAGTCATTATAGCAGGGCGTAGCAGAGAGTCATAACCTACGTCAGCCTTCCTGCCAAAACTAGGTCACAGAGTTTTACCCATTAGTTTCCAGATCAAGTTGTTCCTCTTCTCAAAGCAATTCAAGTGCCTAGTGCAGACACCCAGTGCTGTTTGAAGCTGCTATTTGAAGGGATATTCAAAACATTCAGTGATGGGCTGACTGGTGTGTTGCAGGACCTGAGGGAGATATACACAGGCATCACAGATGACACTGAACACTTTTTAAAGCCCTGAATATCCTCTCATCTCATTTATATGTAGTTAATTGCAGTGTCTGAAAAACTCTCACCCCATGCAGTTCTAAAGAAAAATGCATTGATTAAAAAGTTTGGCTGCTAGTATGTTTTTTCCTATCCTCTTCCCTGCTCAGAAACAAGGTGAACCTGCTAGCAACTCCACACTCTTCAGGTGAGCCTGACCTCCCCAGCTCCCCCTGCAGGTTTATCTTAATCTGTAGAAAGTACACTTCGTTCTAATATTATTAATTTCTCACCTGGAACAAAGTAATGAAATTTCAAGTCCTGAGCTTACTTAAAAAGTTGTCAAAGGTTGTGAAAACTTCTTAAGTTGTTACACAAGACAAAACAGCTTTTAGAGGCATTTCAAAACAAGGAAAAGCACATGAATCAAAGCTGTTTAAAACTACATACTAGTTTTGAAACATTTACATTTTTAGTAATAAAAATAAATGGAAGATATGTACATGTAATAAAGTTGAACAAAAGCCTGCATTTGAAAGAATTACAGCAAGCCAACCTACAGGTAAAGAATCCAGGTCTGGACTGAAGACTTATCCACACTCAGGCTCTAAGTGTGGGCAACTGTGGACTGAAGATGACTGGCGCTCATTTAATGTCAGACAAACTGACTCCACCACTGCAGGACCTGTTGCCATTAACCTGGCAGTATTCTTCCAGTGACTGACATGAAATCCTTTCAAACTACCTGTGAACACCTCTTTGGAGGTATCCACCATGCAAGTCTAGGGATACAAAGCTGAAAAAGGTAATGAGTCAACCAGTAAGTGAATAGGAGCTCCCAAAATATCAGCTTATTAAACAAAACCCAAAACTTCAGAGGTGCCTGGGAGATCCTATTATTTAACTGCACAATTCCCTATGAAGTTCCAAACACAGAAAAGTAGCTTTTACATTTAATCCCTAGCACAAACTGTATCGCTACCCTCTGTCTCATCTTTGAGGTCACAAGGACCGGGATTTCTGTCATTTGAAAAAACAATTCAGAAGGAAGTATCAGATGCTGTTGGGGTTTTTGGAGGCTACTCGTTGTTTTTACATAAAGAGGAAATCACCAAACAGCAGAGAAGTTCACTTCCCTGTTCAAAAATGAAAGAAAGACAAATGGAATGAAGTTTTATTGTACTTTTGCAGGCAAACAACCCCAAACTTTTGTCAGCATTCTAATCACTGCAGTCTACAGAGAAAGGTCAACAATGGCAACAGAGTAAACAAGCCCAAGTTTGAGAAGTAGAAATATTTTAATTCAGTCTTCATAAAAACTATTAGTAATATACATTACTATACATTACAAGTATCAAGACATGAAAAAAACTTTAGAAGTCCTGCTCTTCCTGCAACAGTTAGCCTCTTTTCTCCTTAAGTCGAGAAGAAAGCTAAAGCAGAAGTAGCTTAAGTTAATTAACATTAACTATTAATAATAGCAATTTTAGTATATTTCCTCACATCCACATGGAGGAAACTCTTAAGAAGAGTTATGCCAAACTCCGTTTTAGCAACTTAACAAAAAACTTCTTTGAATAAAAGTGACGCAAGTGAAACTATTTTCCCTGCTCAGAAAGGAACGCCACAAAAACCTCACCCTAATATCGAGTTAGTTTTATAAACAGAGAATCTTTGGCACTGAAGGCCTTCTATACATAATCATACACACATCGTAATGAGGATACACTTTACTATCACAAAACTTTGTTAGGTAGTTGATTAGTCCTCTTCTGTACCCCAGTTTTCCATTCTTAAGATACTGCTATGTTAAGCCTCAGCAGCTGGAGGATGGCAGAACAAAGACATTTTGCAAATTTCCCTCTTTACGAAAGAAATGTCCGGACTGTACCCTTTATTGTCCCCCTGCAAATAGGGCATTTCCTAAGGGATGGTGCACATTCTTTGCACACCACTAAGTGACCACATGGAATAAAAACAATAGAAACTTCTTTGTCCATGCAAACTTTACACGTTCTTTCCTCTTGCAATCTTCTTAATTGTTCTTCCATAGGTAAACCTGGAAAAAATAGTTACATTTTTGTCAGCCTGGACATATGTGAATAGATCAAAATGTATTTATTTAGAGTGTAGCCATGCCCGTTTTCACCTTTTATTTCTCTACCTGTGTTGACTAAAATATAGATGGCAGTGAGCATTTTTCAGAGCTCAGAAAGTGGCATGCAAGGAACTAGTCTGTACTTTCCAGTTCTGTGAGATGACGGACACAGCCCAGGGGTTGGAGGCCAACCAGTGTTTACATTTTAGCAAATGTTGTACTTTTCTTGGTTGGATATCAGAAACACAAACACAGCCTGACTGGTGGAAGTGGCTATATCCAGGCTTGTACACTTTTCTGCAGTTTATTAACAGATTAAACTGCAGGACCAGAGCAAACTCAATCTCATGTCTGACAAGTTTTTATCTACACACCTGTTGTCAAGCTAGATCTCAGGACATCTACACCTACTCTGGAAAAGCAGAGATGATACATGTTCTGGAATGCTAACCAACCAATTATTCTCCAGGCTTTACCAAATGCCCGAATGCTTGTATCAGGATCAAGACCAGCATGTCCTTTTTGAATTGCTGAGCTCCAGAAAGCTCTACATCCTGTGATGTGCAAAAGCATGACAAAGCACAGGATACAGCTTAGAGCTGATAGACTTACTTGCAAGTATGCACATGCACTTAACTTTTGGTTAAATTTTTCAGGCTGTATTACTAAAGCAGAATTAGAGAGGGGGTAAAGCACCAAACCTTCTTCTTAACCAAAGTAATTTTCTTTTTTATGTTAGCTGTTTGTTCTACAGTCTTTTAAGATAAGAAGGTAGAATTTAAGGTACCTGAAACATCTTCTGTGGGAACATACTTGATGGTCTTCTCCACTAGAATAAAAGAAAAACCTTATCATTTAACTAATCTATGTTCAAACAGCATCTGTTTGTTTCTTTTTCTTTAGACTGTTGTGAGAGCACTGGTAAGACTTCTATAAAAGGATAACCTTTAAAAACAGAAGGAAACCAGAGAGACATACCAAATAAATCCTTGTAGAGCACAGGGTCACAATCTCGTAGACAGTTCCTGAAGATGCTGGCTGCTTCATTTCCTTTCACTAAAATTGTATCTATCAGTTCCCTTGCCTGCAATGGTATCTGAGTCTTCTGCTTAATAACATCATGCTCAAGTTCTGTTATCACTTTAGCTGATAGTAAACTGCCGAGGATTGGGAGTACACATGTTAAACGTTGGAATAAAGCCATTCGATTCTTCTGGATCAAGTACAAATCATCTGGAACATAAGGGGGAATTAGATAAAACAATTAGGAATACACTACTCCAAGTTGTACTTCTGTTTAACAATAATTGATATGTTCTTTAAACTCTACTTGCAATGTTTGCTTATTACACGTCATTAATAAAACGCTCAGCAACTTTTAGTGGTATTTACGTAATGAACAGACTTAAGGAAACCACATACAAGCAGCTTCTGAGCCAAAGCCTGTTCAGCAAGGAAACTTCCTCCTCGCATCTCTAGGTTAAATGGTCAGAGAGGATCTTGTGTAATTCCCTATTAGTGAGACCTACACTCTCTGGACGATTGCAAAGAAAAAACTAACACCAACACTAACTCCTCGACATGCCAGAGGTCAACTTTTGTCAGTGCTAGGCTGTATATAAAAGAAAGCTCTTCTACAAAGTGTCCAACACAACGACCTACAAGAAAACCAGAAGTACAGAACAACCAGACTCTGGAGACTATTTTAATACTCTACCACAAATAAGAACAAGAAAATTTCCAGTAGAATTATAATGCTGAATCCATCTATGGTCTTTTGAGAGAAATACAACTAAGAAAGAAGCATCTTTAATTCCATTTATAATTGAGAAGTTTCATTATGCTTCACAGACTCAAAATCAGAATGATTTCTTCAGGCTTCAAAACTTACATGGCATTGAAGCAACAGGAAATGTTGAAGACACAACAAATAAACAAATTGCTGACATACATGTGCTGAGTCAGACAGAAAAGCAGATCTTTGGCCATCTTACAGAATCTGAATTTGTAAAAGTTTATGGCCTATCCTTAGCAGGTGGATATGGTGGCTTACTGATTCAAGAAGCTTAAAGAGCAGGCAAATTTGGATAAAAAATAGTAGTGTACCAAGTGTTTCATTAACAGCAATATAATGGCACACAAATGGAACATAAAAGGCTTTGGGAAGAACCCTTGGTCTCTGCTATGAATCATTCTCCTAAAAGGGAGTGAAACAATTCTCAGACTGCTGGTTCCATACAGATATCCTGACAACACTTTTAGAGAAGCTGATCCTAGCAACAATTAAACTAAATCACTTAGTGCATAAAAACAAATATAAAAACTATACATATTACTGACTGCTGCAGATTTCACTTTTATTTATGCCTGATGCCTACCTGATGCCACTTCTTCCAACTGCTTTTCTTTCTCTTCAATCTTCTCATCTTCAGCCGTGAGCAGATCAGACACAAGATCATTAACAGTCTTGTAGTTTTCTCCAGTGGCCAAGATTTTACTTTGCACTGTTTGCTTTATTAGCCTTCTACTGAATCCCATCTCCAAGGTAGCTTTAACCACAGGTGTGTTCATCATGATTGCATCTTCTGAATGGCTCTCTCCAGGTTCAAAACAAATAACTAATCAAAAAGGAAAATCCTCATGTATAATATAAAGAATAAAATATCCATACAACCCCAGAAGTCAGACACATCAACAGTACCTACACACATGAACACTGAGCAGTAAAAAGTTTCAAGTGTTTAAGAAGAATTTTTTTAAGTAGTTTTAAAAATGGAAGCCAGTGACTCAGTCATGGATTGAATCCAAGATAAACATCAATCCATGTCAGGCCTTTGTTAAAACCTATGTTAATCCAGAGAAACCACTGAGAATTCCATTGTGTCCTAGCAGCTTTTTTTATACTTAGTTATTTCTAACTTCAGCCTTGAAAAATGGCCTGGGGATGTGACAGGGGTGGGGGAGGGAAGTCAGAGTTTATAGTACAAACAATTGCTCTATTCCAACTCTTGATCAGTAATTTGCATTCAATTTAGTACACACCAGACACATGGGATTCTTAGTCATTGTCCTCAGTTAGCAGGGACTAGGACAGCATAAACTCCCAGAGGGTGAGTGGGTTTTTTCACCATAACTAGAGTCCAGCCTAGAAAGACTTCACTGTTTCAGCTTGTCCTACCTTCTTCCTTAACTGCTGCTGCTCAGCTCAGAGCATTTACCTAGTTAGGTGCCTAGAGACGAAATTGCATAACAGCATAGTCATGACACCCTCTAGCAACTGTCCCACCAAGCTCAACACTTGCTTTGCTTAACCCAACCCTGAAATGAAAAAACAGCAACCAAGTGTACAAACCCAAAAATTTCAATATGAGGTGCTAGTATGAAAAGAAGGAAAATTAAAAACAAGATCTCTTCGAGGTGTTTCCTCGGAGTTTTTCAACACAACATCAAAATTATTAAACTTTTAAGAAACAAATCTAAGAATTGGCTATCCCAAGCTAACTCACTTAGCAATCATCAAGTTAGCAAAATGCTGAGGGAGTTTAAAAACACGCTTTAATATACATACTTGGAGGATCAAGGTTTTCATCTACAGGTGGATCAGAGGTTGACAAGAGCTGTAGAACACAAGAGAACTACATTAGTATTGAATTATTGCTCTTTCCTCTATGTACCTTTCTAATATATTGTTCATCATCAATCCTGCTAAGCTTCCTATCCATTAAATATTTCACCTGCAATTACACAAGTCTGCAAATCTGTGCAACTGTATAATCAACACAAAGCTAGTGCTGACCACTTCCATGAAGAGGAGTCTGGTAACTCTTGCCATAAGAATTACAAATGGAAACAGTTCACATTGTCCAGGACTGATTTCTGAAATAATAATTACTGATCTGCACTATTTAGTGTATAATCAGACTTTCCCTCTGATAACACAAAGGAGCTCACTCTCCAAAATAGGACTCTCCAAAAGTAATCTGTAGAGGTTAAACTCTACTAGTCCAAGACTAGCCATGGTTCAGCACTAGCTTCTTTTACATGCTCATGAAGAGCATTTATGATGTTAGAAACCCAGGAGAAACATACACAGAAATTAGGCAGAAGAATGAACACAGCACTGTTCAACAAAGGAAAACCAAAGTTACAGGACAGTAAAAGCTTACCTGTTCAAGGAGATGGGGGAATCTGGCCTGAATTTGATTTATAAACTCTCTTCCTTTTATACGAAGCAGATATTCACACCTGAAACATTGACAAAAGTGTATCAAATATACTTTCTACCTGCCAAATGAAAAAAAACATAGAAGAACGAACAAGTTTAAACCCAGTCTAAGTTAAATACATTTCTCTTCCTTCAGAAGAGAAAGAATACTCTTAATTAGAAGCTTGGTGCAGCCTAGTGACACTTAGATAAAGTTTTTCCATGACATCCAGCTGTCAGTAAGCTTATGTATATAAATGCAGCAGGCTTACATTCTGCTGCCACTTGTGATCAAAATGGCATGTCACAAGAAGTGATAATGTCAAAATCACTACAAAGTGCAGTGATGAACTGTTTCTATCTTGCATCTCACCATTCTTATCTCTTACTCAAATAATTCAAAAGGAAGAATTTAACAAAATACAATTATCAAAGCCAGGTCTGCTTCACTAACATAGGTTTATCTCTTATGTACATTTACTGACAGGCTTAACACAGTAACAAACAGCAGTGACATTTAGCCCTACATACATCATATAGTCCAGCAGTAGCTGATAAATTGCCCATGAAAGCCTTGCTGGAGATCTACAATGAGAAGAACTATTATTAGCTTTCCTGAAATTAAGTGCAGCTATTTCTGTAATGGAGGTGGTGATTTCCATGGGTATAGATAGCAATTAGGTATGAAATTGCCATTTAATTATAGGTGACATTAAAAAGTTATTTCTGTCCTTTTTCCAGTAGAGACATACTAAAGAGCCACTGAAACCTTCTTCACAAGCCCTTCTACATGTAGGAAACTAAACTGCACAAGCAGAAAAACTGGTTCAAGAGCATTCGGCATGGGCACAAAATCAGAACCAATGAGTTAAACATTCCTTCTACTTCCTTTCTCAGCAGCCTTTGCTCCCATCGATCAGCTACTGATTGCTTCTCCTACACAGAAAAGTATGCTCATTAACAATGCAGTCTCACTTGCTGTTAGTGATCTGACAGCTTTTAATAATGAAGGGGAAAGCATTATATGCCACGGTTAATGAAGAAATGTTTTAATTACACCCACCCACACTCTCCAGAGCTTTTAGACATACATGCAATACATCCAAATGAAAGAGTGAATCTGTACATCAAATAAAGTTAAACAAAACTATTAAGTGCAGTACATATCTGCCAAAATTAAAACATTTAGGAATATGAACAAATTATGATAAAGATTTTGCAAGTTACCTTGGAAACCACTTTGCATGCTCAATCCATGGATCATCTCCAGATTCCCAGCACCTTAGCCCGCCATCACAGCAAAAACACTTCACATCATCATTGCGACCTTAAAAAAAAACAAGGCAAAATATCTAGCAAACCTTGACACAACTTACTTGAAAGTAAATGCTGACATAGCAGTATAAATAAAACTGGAGAAGTCTGGGTTTCTTACCTACATAGTAAAAGCCAGCATCTGCAAGCTGTTCAGGCTGAACTGGAATTCTGGTTGGCCAATTTACGAATGTTTTAACACGTGCTTCATGGGTTTGCATGCTCACATTTGAAACATTGAAACTCTGTTGCTCTCGGATAAGGTTTTCCACAAAACGGCAGTTGGGATAGTGTCTCCGATGCTCTGACATAGCATTATCTTTTGGTTCCCAATTACAAAGCTGACCACCACAGGTAAAACAAGCAACTTTGTCTGCTGTCCCCAGGTAATAAAGTCCAGCCTTTGCCAGATCAGTGGGTGAGAGAAACGTCAGTGGCCATGACTGAAAGGTGCGTAGCCTAGCATCTTCTGTCCTCATAGAATGATTGTGAAGCTTAGGGCTTAAGAATGGAAGGTCTTCAGCTGCCCTAGTAGTTACTGGGTCTTGAGGAAAACTGGAAAACGAGCCACTGAAATATCCAACCTGTTCTAAACTTGGAGAAAGTCCTATGGAATGTAGAGACGGTGGGAGACTGTTTGAGTGTGAAAAGGCAGAACGAGATGACAGTCCAACGTTGTTAACTGAAAGCATTCTTTGAACAAAATTGCAGCTAGGATACAGCTGCTTATGTTTTTCCATAGCATTATCTCCTGGCTGCCAGTTATCCAATGTCAAGCCACAACTGAAGCACTTCACTTTATCTTGCACACCCGTGTAATAAAACCCAGCCCGGGCAAGGCTGCGCTCTGACACCGGCGTGTTCGTGGGAAAGGTCGAGAACGTTGACATTCTGTAGAGCTCACAGGACAGGTCATACTTCAGCTCATCACACAGAGCACTCTGCCTCATGATGCTAGCCAAGAAAGGGCTATCTTCCACTATGTTCATAATGGACTGTTTTGGGAAAAATGGGACAAGTCTTCCTCTGGGAGGTAGTTGTGTGCATTAAAGGCAATCTGGAACAACCCCAGCCTGTACAAAAGCAATAAATACTTTAAAGTGTAACTTCAAATGTGCATATGAATAGAACTGACCTCATGATTTAACAGCCTATAAACATTTGGCAAGTTCTTGTACCTTAGTTTAGCAACTGCTTTCAGTGCAAAAGCTTCCCCATCCCATTTTAACAATTGAAGAAAGCATGTTGAAAAGCAATTTCCACTGAATCATATAAGCATCACATGCTTTTTACTTGTTCTGTATATCTGGGAGAGCAGTAACAATTTGTCAGGCTCGTGGAAGTCGGATCAAAAGAGGAAAAACCACAAATGGGTTTATCAAAATCCTTTGTTAATAAAGAAACTAAATTGGGGGGGGGGGGGGAGCTAAAAAAAAATTGAAAGAGAAAAAAGGGGGGGGGGGGGGGGCAACTAAAACAATATTGTTCTTATCCAGAACATAGGTGATTTAAGGACAAGATTTCACCCTAGACAGCTGATAAATATGTAGCTTATACACACACAAAGATTTTAGTTTGTAAAACCTCACTAGGAGGCTGAAAAGAAGGGTTTATCAAGTTCAAAGGACACACAAAAAATAGAGACCCTGAACTGGTGGTATTAAACTGATCTTAGTATATTTGCTACTACTGAACTCCAAAAAAAAACACCTGTCAAGTTCTGCATATTGTTGTAACAAGTTGTTAAGACTAAAGAAGTTAGTTTATACTCAACTTCACACGTATAGAATATTCAGCTATTAGAGAAACAAATCCTATACACTGTCTCAGACAAGGATGAAATCTCTTTATTAACAAACCTGGGACAGGTTTGTCCACAAGCCAGCACCAAATTAACAGAGCACTTCAGTTTTAACCTGGTGCCTTAGTTACAAGTACAGAATTATCAAATTTAACATTAATTAATTGCCTTGTGTTGAGACATTCTGATGCTTTATCCTGTTGAATTAAGTTTTCCCTGTATGCCATGTTTATGACATACAGAAGCAAACAGAACTCTCAGATTAAAAAAAAAAAAAGTATTTGATGCCTTAGTTTCTTTATTTCTGCACAAAACTACCTCCCAGAGGCAAGACTGAAGTCCCTTCTAAGGTGCCTACGCCTCCATACTGGTATTGACTGTCCTCAAGAAGAAATTGTAAGTGTCTGTAGTTTCAATCATTCAAATTTTTGTGTCAGAACAAAACCTGTAGGGAAGAAAAAGAGTGTTTTAAAATACACAGTGATGAGGTGCATGCAATGTCTATGCAAACAGCAATTACACAAATTGAAACAGCACAAAGCTTTTTGCAATTATAGAATGCTAAGGGCTGGAAGAGATCTTAAAGATCCCTAGTCCCCCTTGCCATGGGTAGGGACATCTTCTAGTAGACCAGGCTGCCCAGAGCCACATCCAACCTGGCCATGAACATTGCTATTATTAGGATGTCCACAAATTGCCACTATTGGGGTGTCCACAACCTCTCTGGGCAACCTGTTCCAGTGTCTCATCACTCTCACAGTAAAGAATTCCTTCCTAATATCTAACATAAATTTCCTTTCTTTCAGTTTGTACCCATTACTGCTTGTCCTGTTACTACAGACAAAGGAGGTCTGCTTCCCGGCAGACCTCCTTCAGACTCCGGCAGGTTGCTAGGAGGTCTCCATGCAACCTTTTCTTCCCCAGGCTGAACAGCCCCAAGTTCCTCTGCCTGTCTAATGTCAGCCAGAAAGTTTCAGGGAGTCAACTTCCCACACTGTGACATGGAGTGATTTCACACACTTCATTTCCCTGTTACTGACGCATATGCCAAACTGTTTAACCCACAAGGAGAATTTTTTGGCAGATGGATTAATCAGGATCAGGCTATTTAATCACAAGCTGTATTACTAAAGGTAAGATCCTGTACTAAAGAAATTGCATCCATTTAAATTGGTTTAAGCCTGCAGATTCCCAAACAATGAAGATACAGTTTTATAACACTGACATAAAGACTACTGGATTTTCTTATCTAGATAAATCAAATTATATTTGAAGCAAGGACATCAGCAAAACTGAACTTCCTCAAAAATTCAAGGAAGGGCAAACACAAAGTTCAAAGGGTTTTCACAGATGTAGCTATGAATTAATATAAAATTAGATATTTAGTAGTCTGGTCGATCAGTTTTCAAACAGTTTTTCCAGGAAAGACTCAGTCATGATGACACAGCACTGCAGAAACAGTCCCCTGCGCTAAGGGACCCCTGAGCACCAGACCCCGCATGGCCCCAACCCCGGCAGCGACAGCGCCACCTTCCACGTCCCCCGCGGTTCCCCCGGGTCTCGCCCTCCATTCCCTCTCCTCCCGCGGGTTCCAGCGGGGCGGCCGCGCTCGCATACAGCGCCGGGGCCACAGCCCGGGGCCCCACAGCTCCTTCAGCCCCACCCGGCGACGCCAGACCGGGCATAGACCCAGAGCACAGCCGCGCCCTCCCGGCAGGGCCCCAGCCCGCTCCTGCCCGCAGCACCCCCCGTACTCACGGCTCCGAGCAAGCCCCCACAGCGGGCCCCAGCAAGGCCCAGCCTATATGCGGTGCCTGGCAGGGCGCGGGGGTAGCGGAGCCAGCCCCGCCGGCAGCGCCCCGCCCAGGAAACTCCGGCCCGGCTCGCCCGGGAGCTCCGGGCGGCGAGTGCCGGACGCAGGCAACGCCTGACGGGGCGGGCACAACACCGCCCTTTCCCCGGGCCCGCGACTGCCCTCGTACGGCTCCGTGCGCCGGACACCAGGGCTGCGCCGGGCACCGGAGCTCCGCCTCTGCGAGGGTGCGGGGGCGTACCGTCCTGCCTTCAGCGGGGAGCTTGGGTACTTTCCTCGGCCCTCTTCCTCGGGCGGGGGAAACCCGAGTGTGCTTCCCGGGCGGGGATTTCCAGGCCGCGGGGCTGGCGAGCAGCCGGGAAGGGAGCGGCCGGAGGGGCGCGGCCCGGGCCCGCGGAGCCCGTTCTGGCCCGAGCTGGGCGGGCGGGCCCGTCGGTGCCGGCAGCGCCGCTCCCCGGGCCGGCGGCGGGGGCCGGGCTGGCCGCAAGCCCCGCGGTTTCAGCCTTGCTCCCTGACACCGCCGTGCATCACAGTTGGCTCGGCCGCATTTCCTAATATAGGTAGTAGCTCTGCTGCCTGTGAGAGGGGAAACAACATGATCGGTGAAAGCCTTTCGTCGCTTGAAAGCACTGGGGAAGAACAAGAGGAAGACAAAGTACCACCATAAATTTCCACTGGAGGGGTTTAAGGCCGTATCTCTGTATATCAAAATCTTAAAAATTTCCACAGCACCTACCAGAATGCTGATCAAAAGCTCAAAATGTCCCAGCAGAGTCATGGTCTGGCATTTCCTATAAACAAACAGCAGATAAGAGATTTTAAAAAGCCCCGTTTTGTGATGACAGATTGGTAGTAGGGTGTTTACACAACTGAGAACTGAAGAGTTAAAACAAGGAAGTGTAACAGTGTTATGACACTGGTGGGTAATTCTCCGTATCAGAGTTCCAGTAAGATGAGTTTTCAAGAAACGCATTCTTATATTTTCTAAAACTCAAAATTCCTGCCATATGTGATGACATTTATTATATATAACAATACTGTCAAATTTGAACGGTGGCAGCGACATCTAGTACAGCACAGCACAGCTTCTACTGTAACATGACTTAACATCATATAATGATAGACAGAAAAACATTTGCTTTGCAGCAGTTGCAGAAAAAAAGAAAGTTAAAAACTTCCTTTTAAAGATTAAAATGGTTGTCAAATCCCTGATACGCTGTTTTAAGGAAGCTGCTGACACAGGGAAGAGAAGGTTCAAAAATGGAGCCAGCTGGTCAAATAGCTTATGTGAAGAGTGCTGAGGTGTGGTTTTGTTTGACATCGGGAACTGTTCAGTGTCACGCAAGGAGCTGAGCTCTGTATTTTTGTGTGGCTTTAATTGCAAGTGCTTAAAGATTTACTTTGACTGATTAACCCCAGTTTCGGAGCTTCAAGCAGGACCCCCCCCCCCCAGATGAAGTTATACTGATCTATTATAACAGATCCTTGACGTTTTACTGTACATTCTCCCAAAACTAGTTAACCCAGTGTTCCTCCTTAACTCTCCTCCCTCCCTCGCTCCACACCCAGCCACTATCTGCCCTTGCCCCTCTGTACCCTTGGCCTCTTGCTAATCTGGCGACAGAAACTGCTATTTCCTTCCCTCCCAGGCCTGGAGGCAGCAGTTTCAGGTTCTCCCTTTGTGCTTGGCAGCTTCATGTCGCAGTGGAGGAAGGGAGGGGGATAAAATAAAAAGCTAAAGGCTAAATAAAATGCTAAAATTCTTGTGATAGGGGAAAAAGAGGTGCAGCTGCCCTGAGCTGTCGGGTGCTTTCTGCTTGCTTTGCCTCATTCAGTACAGTAGCAGCCCCCCATTCCCCGTAATTCCTTAACTTTTCAGAGTAAGAAGTTAAGATGGAACTTCCCCCACTTAAGTGCAATGATGGACTGTCCTTTACCCAAAGGACATGAAGTAAGAATGTAACTAAAGGGTTCTTCTTACGAATGAAATTCCTTAGGAACAGTGCATAATCATTAGTTCTGTGTCTAGCTTCAGCCTGGGGCCAGGGTAACTCTCCAGAAGCACAGTAAGAGGACAGAGTGGGGCTTAAGCTCTACCCAAGCTAAATTCGGGCTTTGGCTTTGGTTCTCGGGCTGTGGCATACCACTAGGACTGTTCCTTATTCCAGCCCTTTCACCAACTGCAGCAACCTTCCAAGATCACAGACCTGAAAACCAGTGAGTGGGTGGGTGAAACAGGACCCTCGGCTTTGCAGACCCTTAGCTCTGGAGAGGGGAGAAGAAGGCATTATTCAGATAAAGCTGTCCTCAACCAAAGGAAATCGCAGAGGTCAAAGTGCTAATAAAAGTGCCACTGCCACATTACCAGGGTTTGTAAAAATAAACCTCATGGTAGTGTTGACTGAAGTAGCAAAGGTGAGAGAGCACATTTCTGGAAGTGGAAGGCAGTGGTGCTGCCAGGTGGAAGGCACTCTGCAGCATGAGTGCATTGTCACACCAAGTAGCACAGCCAGCCCTCGAAGTACCTGATGCAGCTGCGAGTCCAGAAGTCTTCTCTCAAAATCCTGCTGAATGTCAGTATCCCCACGCTGTCGTCCTTCTCTGATGCATTCTCCAGTTTACCATCTTCCACAACATTAAATGTCTGGCTTTAATGGTGCTTCTGTAACACACCTCTAAACATCTGTGAAGAGGAGAGATCGAGAAAACACACATTGTTATTTGCCTTTCCCTTGCTACTGACTCCTGTATCCACTCTCCCAAAAATCTAAAACCCTCTGTAAAACCTGTATTAAAAAATAAAACCAGTTATCACT